ATCAATAATTTTTTAGTTTTTGCAATGATACGTTCGAATTTAGCATGATAGAAAATGAAATTCACTTTGTGTTTATATGTCCATTTTATAATGATCTAAGGGCTGATCTTTTGTCAATAACACTATGCAATTATGCAAATACTGACAGTCTGGGCTTACTTCGTCGCTACGCAAACTGCCACACCATATATCAAATAGCTCTATATTTTTTAAAAGTTTTCAAGCGACGAGATGAATATGAATTCAGCTTAACTTAGTACCATATGTTTACATGGATGTTGTATTGTGTTTAAAACGTGCTATGCACTTTTCTACCCATTACATTTTGACATGAAATCGTGTCACTTTTATGTGCGCTAACATCTGCGAAGTGTGAAAAAACTCGTAAGTAGCCTTCTACCTTAAAATACTTGGACAATAATGCTAAGATACGTACAGTCTTGTCTTTTTTGTGTACAACATTTTGCCGTAGTGGATCAATGGTGTGGATATTTTTGTCTGTAGGTGGGGAATGGCTCAGGACCCCTTCTCTAAAATGGTAAAATAGTCCAAAGATGTTATGTGAAATATCTTACCAATGTAACGCAAAGTAAACCAATTGAATTTAGAATCGATAATATAAAAATGTCTGTAACAAAGCTCAAAAACACTTTTTGAATATTATAAAATTCACATATTTCACGTCAAATATATAATTGTTGTTTTCGAACCCCCTATTCAAAAGAGCTGGCTACGGGCCTGGACTCAGTTCCAGACCTAGCAGTTGAGCAATAAACACCTTGGCTACAAGTGCTCCTCTCCAGTGCGTTATTCTCTTCCCGGATTTGGTGACCAATACTCACTTGGTTCACTCTGCCTTGAGAAGTCTGTTCTCAGTTAATAATAATTTACTACTAGGATATGATATTCAACCACAAACCTTTATAGAGTCGTCGTCATTATAGTGGAATTCGTACAGTATTCGGTTTCTTTTGAGATCAAAGGTTCTGAGATGTTGACCTCGACGATTAAATATGAATACCTCGCTGAAAACGACAAAACATATTCATTATAAACCACACATAATTAGAGAACGTAAATATTATAATAAGGTGTATCATTTGAAACAATATTGTCAGTACTCTAGTGTGACGTACGAAACAAAATTGTTCAGTATGTAATTTTATCACATCTCACTGTTGTTACGCACGCTGTGATTGGTTGGTATTTTGCCCGCCAAGTGAATATTACATGGTTTATCACATGGGTGACGTCACTGAGACTACTGCGCAACGATACTGATATATTATTATGCAAATTAATTCATTACGGTATTTGTGGGACTCCACTGCTTTGTTTCAGAAACAATTTATCAAATCGCCAATAATTTGTCAATATTAACAAAGTTTCTCTAATATTATGGCTATGACCACCATCTTCTGGGCAGGCAACTAGTCATGATATTGCCCTCACAAGCATGTGTTATTATTTAAAAGTATTATTGTCACTCAAAATACTAGTAACTCCAAGTGATGGACGGCACTACAAATTACAGATAGAATTATTTTAAATTGCAGACTTGAGGAACAACATATTGGAATGTATAAAGAGATGGAAATTTAGATATTAACCTCGGATTCGGGCCTGGAATGACGTAACTTCCGCTCCCTACGCTCGAAGGAGCCTTTGTTTTCACGCTTCGCACTCGGTAATTACCTAAATTCAAAATAAATTGAATATCATAATATGAAATTTTATTTAATTTATTTAATCCACACTGTGTAAGGGTACAATAGACGTCCCCTAAAGAACAACACATTTGCATAATATCCACTAATGCTCATGTCACGTGACAAATAGTGGACAAAATGGGTTATTAAAATGATCATCGTCTTTTGCCAACATTTTGTAATTATACTTTGTTTGTACACTATTATATGTACCATATACAGAGCAGCTGCAGGTGATCACTCTAAGTTTCAATAACTTTACATCAAATACCAGTGTAAGTCATAATAAATGCATCAATACGGTAACTTGTTGGTTCTTTACCATAATTTGAAAATATAATCCTTTCGACCTCTAGCAAGCACTAACATAGGTACTACCAGAGGTACTACTTGATACCAACCTTGATCAGCGATGTATAAGACGCCTTTTGGCGTCAATGCGATATCAGTCGGAGCATTCATTAAGCTTGCAGGGGCAAGGCCGTCGTGAAGGCAAGAACAACTACTTTGTGCGCAGTCACAATCGGGACGCCTGCCTGCAAATGTATTAATACCACCGCGTTGGCCAACCAATCGTATTCTGTTTATATAATGATAGTCTGTTTCACTAATGAATATTCCACCAGACGGAGATACAGCGATGGCCTGTAAATATATTATTTTTTAGGCATTTGAATTACTAGTATGCCTTTCATAATGTTGCTGATTTGAACATTTTGTTACTCAATGCATTAGTCATATAAATGATTCGTAGATACACACCGTTCATTTTATAACCCGTTAAAGGCTTTTATTGAGCCTCAATCATTCATACAGGGCCGGCCATATACCGCAGACGAAAATGGCCGCTGAGGAGATATCGTTGTGAACGAGAGAGAGACACGAGACTTGTATTTGCCATTCAAATAGTGCTACATTTTATCCTGTTAACGCGTCAACCGTTCGAAATACCGCCGTCGCCAGGGGGACAGTGGACGCGACAACGGGAGAAATGAAACACTATCGTAGGGGCAAGTCTCGCGACCTACTCGTTCCGGCAAACACACTGCAAATTTATTGATTCCTATGCATGTGGAATGGAAAATTAAACTTGACTGATTTCACCATAATCTGTTTCTTTTTAAATTAGAAAGCTTGAAGTTAAATTCCAACTTTGCAAATATCTGAAATACATCTCCAAGAACAAGCTAAAACATAAAATAGGTAAAGCGCGGTGGTCGTCGCGCAGCGCGTGTTCGAATTTCATGAAAATAAACAATGTATTTTACACGCGTTGTATACGTCGCTATGAGTCCCATATCAAACAGGACGCGGCGCGACGACTGCCGCCCTTTAATATTGTGATCAAAATAGAAATCTGGCCCACTTAGCGCTCATTTCATTTTGGGAAATCGGGCGACATATCTACACAAACATATCTACACTGCCCTTCAAAGACATGCAAAGCCTCCTAACTCAACAAATGTGATATTTTTTTTACAGATCTAACCTTATTTTGTAGGCCCGCCCAAATTCATATTTGGTGGTTCATTTTGGTACCCTTGCACAATCACAACATATTATTGATAAAGAGGTGGTACCTAACATATGCAAAGTGGTAATGCAACTTTGAACAAGGTCAGTATTTCCATGGATCAAATAACGCATACCTGTGGCGAAATGAGCTTCGTGTCTAAAGCACTATCCGATTCTGGGTCGTCACTTATTGGGTAAAGAGGAGGTGTAACAGGAGTACGACCAGCAACCGGTTTTACTTGTCCCTGTCTGTTCTGTTTGAATACAACATCGCCATCAACGATATACAGTGTATCATCTACGGGATGTACTGCTATGTAAGTTGGCCAGGTGAAGCTGATCTCTTTCATTGGCGCGTCATATATATCACGTGACCGCAGCGGTTCAACTTGACCAATCAGGTTCGTCCCAATATGTGCCTCAATAATTCCATCATTTCCTATTTGACGTATTCGTCGATTATCTACCAGAAAGACGTCGCCATCTTTACCAACAGCGATCCCTGTAACGCATCAACGTAAACGTATCGGTATTTACACACTGTATTCAGTCAATTTCTATCAACAGTACTATAATTGAGCTATGCCAAAAATGGCCACTCTAAAATGCAGATATATTTTAATTTGAGGCTTCGTAAGGATGTTGATGTAACGTATGTTGAGAAATTAGGAAACTCCACCAACATTCACCACTTACATATTTTTATATTCACATTTTCAACGGTGTCATAAGATGAACACATTATTGTTAAATTGTAACTTATACCACACAAAACCTCCAAATAAGACTGGGATAAAGTATGTTCATTTATATGACGACCACAGAGCAAAATGATTGGTGATTCACATTTAATGAGTTACCTTTTGGAGTTGTGAGTTTGGCATTAACTGCTAAGCCGCCATCACCACACCCATTCTCCCACGGAGGGCAACGCTCACCGGTGCCGGCAAACACACTCTCCTCGCCAGTCTCGGGATCTATGCGGAAAACTTGTCGTCTTGCACTGTCTGATAAATAGAGGGTGCCATCACGACGACTAGCGGCCAAATAATACCGATATGCTGGACGATTATTCCTGTAAACAACACGCAGGGAATGTTATACTAGTAAATCAATTTCTCTAGTGTCATAATGGCGAACAAGGCATGGTTATATGAAAGGCATAGATCGGGCATATATTTTTACTTTGTATTGTCACATTTCTTCTTCCATACTGCATTTCGAGTCCCAAAAAATTACCTACACCCAGATTACAGTGAAAGAGGTGAAAAATTGATACGAACGGCGTAGCATTCCTCGTGGTGTTAAAGCAGGGGAGTCGTGACCTACGCATGCGTCAGGTGGCCATACCGTGTCATTGTTTACAAACAAGCGTCTACCCATGAGCCTTTGCGTTCTTAGCATGTGTTGTAATCATCGCTTCGGACTCAATTCCCGCGCGTGCGCAGGTGACGACCCTTCCACTTCCGCTTTAAGCAATGTTCTATGGTTCAGTCAGTTCTAATTTTAGTTTTCCTGAATAATTCCGTTCAATAAAGATGATAATCCATCACTGTAGCAACCAAACAACTAACATCACTTACGGTAACTGCATAATCGTTGTCACTGTACCATTCATCCATATTTTTCTGATGAAGTTATAGTCACCTATGTAAACACTGCCGTCAGGAGAAGTAGCTGTAGCTATTGGAAGTCTGAATTGCGTGGATGTAGTGTCACCTTCTCCGCATTCCTGCAAATCATTTCAGGTGTGAGGCAATGTTTTATTACGATTTTATTTTCAGCCTTCATAATTATATAATTTATACGATAGGAATACATCTTGCTTATAAATCGCGCCCTCTGGCGACAAAGCGCTCATGTGACGTAAGTATGGTAAGTACTAGTATATTGAAGCGGCGACACTGGCCACCTGTTTGGTAGGTTCGAATTAAAGGGCGGTGGTCGTAGTGTCGCGCATGTGCGACATTTGTGTTGAGCCCCTATATGTAAAGCACCTTGTTTCATAGTTCAATGGTAAGATGTGTGCATGGTTCACATTCTGAGTGTTTCTGGATGGTAGATTTGCTGTTTCTAGTTACGCTGTGACACTAGAATATCGCATTACCTTACAATCCAGTGGGGCCCTTGAATTGCTCCCAGCAACGGTTTCTAGTATCTTACTTTGATCGGTATAGCTCAGAGTCTCGCCAGTACCCATGTGTAGTGTACCTACAAATTATATGCACACATGTCATACAAATATGGCATCTTTATTTTATAAGAGCTATCTGTCTAGCGAGTTATGTTCCCACATATATACGCCCTTTTGTGACAGTGTCATCATGTTGTGGAAAATATAAATGTTTACATAATCACAATGTCATGTGGGTGATATGAGTCAGTAAACTCTAGAATGTTAGTCACAGCATGACACTGGCTGCAATCTGCCACAAGGACAAAACAAACCATTGCACTATTTTGAATTCAACCCAGACAACCTGGAAATAATGAGAACTATTAATAACTAACTAACGCACTATGAGAACGTTTACACACCATTCTTTGGACCACACGCCATTCATACCATAAGTACTTCTAGACGTCGTTTATTGATCAACGCCACAAAAAACGTTTGAGCAACTTTTATTGACACACACACCGTTTATTTATCAATCCCATGAGAACGTCCTCACAAAATTCATTTGTCAGTAACATGAGAATTTCTGTAGATCATTTATTGGTACAAACACCATTTACGAATTTCCACACAAAATTCATTGGTTCACACTACAAGAACTTTCACATACAATTTATTGGTCCACACACCGTTCATTGGTTCAAAGAACCAGAATCAGAACCGTCATCACTATCGTAAGTTTTACTACATTTCATCCGCATATTGCCTTAGAAAACTCACCTGAAACGGCGTCATAACTATGATGAATTCCCAAAGACCATCCACCAATCTCTCCCCCTACAATGCCTCTAACAACGTTTATTTCATGGTCTTCCCAATACGTCACTGATCTGTCCCCGCGTCGAACGGCAGCTCTCGTGTTTGCTTGACTAAATCGATTGAAACTTTGACGAAACTCTGTTGACACAGGATAATAGACCATCTCGTACTTGTAACCGATTCTCACTGAAAAGTGAAAGATTGGTCAGTCAGTCATTGGAAAATATTGACAAAATGTGTGTATCAGCTTCAAGGTTAATAGGCATATGTCTTACGGAGTTGATTTTTCTGAATAAATATATTTATCAGTCAAATTACAATATATAAATGAAGTAATAATTTGGGCTAAACATTTGTGCCTACTGCGTTCATGTGAGGTTTAGTGAGGCATTTTACTTTAACATTTCCGAAAGACGGCTTGCATCCGGTTCATTCTCAAGATGTTTTCATATTCCACATTCCAATAGAACATCATTGTGTACTTCATTTCGACGCAATAAGTGTAACGTGATGAAATAATCGTATCTTGAGTATTTCATATTAAGATAATAATGGAGTGTAGCCAATGTCAATGTGAAGAAGTTGATATAGTTTCTGGTACATTAGATTAATAATTACACTTATAATGGTATACAGTAATCACACACACAATCTTAGATAATAGAACGACAATCGCATAGGGAAATACAAGTTCATGAACGCAATGAAACTCCAGCCATCATACATAAACAGTACATTGCAAAACATGGAAGTGATTAAGCAGGTATTTCACAATACTTAGTACTTGAGAACAGTCTGCTTCACATATGAGCTGACTATGGAACCTGTAGTAAGGCGAATCAACGAGTTAAAGCAGGCGTCAGATGGTCATTGTTTATAAACAAGCGTCTACCCATGAGCATTTGCGTGTTAGCGCGTATTGTTATCGTCGCTTGGAACTCAATTCCCACGCGTGCGCAGGTGATGACCCTCCCGCTTTAAATATAGATGGTTCATCCATAATGCTACTGATACCAACAGAGAACTATAAAGATAAGGGAAATTCTTTGATTGTATTGGGCTTTTAAACGATTATATTTTTCACATCTAAAATAACAGTGGGTGTCCCAAAAATACATGAGCACCCCCTTATGACCTTAACAATGTGACCCACCTGAATTTGTGCCAATAAAGTGACCCTTCCCAAATTCCCCAGAAAAAATGTGATGCCTGACACACCCCTGAAAAATCAATTATCGATATACAACTCAAAGTGGTCATACAAGGATGTGGTACCAGACTACATGCTTGTGATTATAATTAAAAAGTGCATAAATATCACATATTCATAATCCCACCTTTCGCCTTTGTTGTACCCTTTACATCTCTGTTATACCCATCAGTGCCATCCCACTGGATAGACTCGGTCACATACTGAGCTGGATCCACTGTACGTGTGTATGATTTACCAGCAATCTAGTTAGAAGGACATCAATTATACATTTTGTAATAACATTTTTATGTATGATACAATGACAAGTCAGGTGTCAAATCTTGTTTCTGAATACATTCTTTTGCAGTCACTATAAATCACTGCTCAATATATACATGAGAAATTACTGATTAATGTATCACAAGCTTAAACAAATATATTTAAAACACATATTTAAATTTAAACCAGGATTTACTGAACACAGGTAAGTGAAATCCTCGGGGCGGAGCTACATCACAGACGTTTCACGTTGCTAAGACGCGCATCACTGTACATGTATTTCTATGGGCTCTGTGTGCGCTGCTGTGGAACGCCGGTCGAGCCGGTGAAAATTCGAGAAAACAACACAAACTCAATTTTGAAGTAATCCTGAACAACCAAATCTATATATGTTATACACGCAGGGCTAATCTTGTTACACTGTTCAGGGGAGTCTCAACAATCATCCCAAAGTACTGTTTTCTACGAGTTTTTGGCCTTTTTTTCACTGTGAGGGTTGCCAGGCGTCGAAAATGCCCGAATTTCCGCTCCAGAGGATACAACAATTGAAAGGCTAAGATCTTCGTAATAGCCAGCGATAGTTTTTACGCCCTCACCGACTAGTTTGAGTCCAAGTGAATCTATCGGCGAGGGCGCATGTCGCTGATGTGTGTTATCTGACATTGACATTGGCCTAAGAGAAGACGCCAACACGTTGGTTCATTTAAATGAAACGAACTGTATATGGACTTACCGATACTTCTAATTTAACTTGTTTCATTATATCAGGTACATTGTTTCCTGTAAGTGGTACTTTGATAACGGAGGAATAACCTCGTTGTCTGTTGTGATTATAAACCAACTGCAGTGATGTTCCAGGTATCGTGATAGACATTGTGCCTGGATTCTAGTAAGTAAGTAGAAGTAATCATAACCTGAGTTGATCTTAAAAAATGATGTACCATACATTTTATTAACCAACATAATGCACTGACATTGAAATAATCTGATTACAAGAATTGTGTTATTCTTAATGCATACACCATTCCCATAAATCGCGCCCTCTATTGCCGGAGCGCTTCTGTGACGTCAAAATGACGTAAATGGGTGAAGGCAATGTCGTTCTAAACGACCATTGTGTGTGGTTGTTACAAAAATTGTGTTATTCTTAATGCATACACTATTCCCATAAATCGCGCCCTCTATTGACGGAGCGCTTCTGTGACGTCAAAATGACGTAAATAGGTGAAAGCAATGTCGTTCTAAACGACTAATGTGTGTGGTTGTGTATTCGTTTGTTGTATAGAATATAGTAACATCTCTAAAAAATGTAATCTTCATTGAATGACGACTACAGACTTAAACGATAGTGACGTTTTTAACGGGTTTCGTGTCACTTATTTATGTCACCGGACCACTTTGTCACTAGATGGCGCGATTTATAAAAAAAGTGTGTGAATAGTGTATTCTTAAAACGCGGTGGTCGTCGCGCAGCGCGTGTTCGAATTTCATGTAAATAAACAATGTATTTTACACGCGTTGTATATGTCGCTATGAGTCCCATATCAAACAGGACGCAGCACGACGACTGCCGCCCTTTAACCTATAAGAATGATCTATATTATTGATATGCACACAATATGATTATATACCTGACTAAGGTTTGGTATGTCTACACTTCCTTCTGGTTCCCAAACGCTTTCTGGCGTCTCTCTCTTAAATCTATATACAGAGTTAGTATCTGTATCATTTGTCCACGGGATTTCTGGACCGTAGTTTCCGGGATTCGCTGTAATAGGTATGCTTGGATAGTGGATTATCCAACTGTTTGGTACTGTCAGTGGAATACCTGGAAGGGGAACCCCTGGTGATGGTGGTAGTCCTGGGGAGGGAGGGATACCGGGCACTGGTGGAACATTTGGAGTGGATGGTATCTCGGGTATGCGTGGAACCTGTGGTGGGTTGTCAGTACCCGGACCAGTTCCGGGACCACTTCCTGTGCCTGATCCAGTTCCTGGACCAGTACTTGTTCCGGGACCTGTTCCAGTACCTGGACCTGTGCCGGTACCTGGACCACCACTACCTGGACCACCACTACCTGGGCCACTACCTGAACCACCCTCTGGACATGGTTGGGGTGGAGGTGGTGGCTCTGATGGTGGAGTAGACGAGCCTTCTTCACAGTCATCTTTGGGTGGTGGTTTTTGAGGATCACATTCGCTCGGTGTACACCCACAGTCTGGGGGTCCATACGGCCAGTTGCAATCCCAAGGAGTGAAATGTGGAACTGGTACACGCCATAGAGCCTGGCCAGGAGAATACATGGCTTTAAGCTTTAGGAGTTCCTGGTCATTGAAACCTGTTTTTGAAAGTACATACAATAATCATACGATATTCTACCTCTTTCTAATGCAATAGTATATTATTTACACAAGTTAGGGAATGACCATGTATTATTCCTAGGGGGGGGGCAATTCTCGGTGCTTTTTTCAAAAAAAATCAATGGACCCTCCCTCTATTCATTCTGTAAAAGAGGGTGCCCCTTTTAGAAAAAATGAAAAATATGTAACCCCCTTATATATATCAGATAACATGTTTTACTATCAATAGTAGAGATGAAACTGTCGTCTCGAAAAAGAATTTCAATAAATAAACACTATTACAAGCAATCCACTGCGCACTACTTTTTCGGCAGATTTCATTTCTGTGAAGTAAAAATATACAAATTGACACAATATTTTGAAATTTATATTAACAGTTCTACTGACTTGCCTGAAGAAAGTCCATGTTATAAATTAGAACAGTCTTTTAACTGAACAAGGTTATGCACCAAAAGCCAACAAATCTATCTTCATGTATTTTATTGATCTTTTGCTACATGGCCACCATCTTTTTTCAGCATGAGTCATTTTAATAAATGTTTTGTGTAATCTGACTGATTTGACAATACTGGACTAAGTGCTGGTTATTAGTTGATAATTGGTAAAAAAGGCATAAAGTAAAAAACGATTGTGTCTCAATTTTTAAGAGAAAATATTCGCCGCCTTCAGCCTTGATAAAAAGTCACTGCCTCCCCTTTGTGGCTTCTGAAAATATGCTGATCCACCCCCCTCTGTTTTGCCCGACTCCCCTCAGGAATAATAAATGGGCATTTCCTTAGCACTAATTATTTTAGCGACAGTACATATATACCTACTGTACGTTAACACCACATAAGCTGCAACTTTCAAAATTACACTTGCAATATAAATGTAATTACAGTATAAATTTCTCAATTGTTGTAATGATTTACTGATTTATTCAACAGCGATTTAAAATGACCTTAGAACCTCAGAGAGAAGGAGAAAGATCTTCAAAATATTGTTATACAGTGAACTACTACAAGACACACTCAATAATGCATAACATAAAATAGCAAGTACAACTAATATCCATTGATCTGACTGGGTAGGTTGAAATAAATGAATGACTAACCAAGTGCGTTGAGTTCCTCCTCTGATGCTGCAATGCCATTTCCTGAGACGTCAACATCTGCTTTGTTCGCGTCAGTAGACGGAAGAACTTCAATGACGATTCCGTTTTCCGACGCAACCCATTCACCCAATGTACGATTATAAAACCCTGTTGATTAAGAAATACAAAAAGTAAATACCCTTCCACTTTTATTCCTCTTCAAAATTGGACCTACTGCTCTTTCCCCTAAAATCGTCAACCAGCGTAGTAGATCTAACAAGTTTCCTATGTGTCAATCGAACCTATTCTAAACAATAGCACCACAGAACGCAAAGGTCGCTTGAAGAACGTTGGATAAGTAAGTTTACTTCCGCGGACAAACACGAGAAACGCACGGACACACGCTTTGCGAATAAGCAGGGACACTAGCAAAAATAGCCTAAGACGAGCACTCACCAGTTCTTGCGATCATCTCGCAATTCGCGTAACTTAATATAATTCATCACAATTTACTTAGTAAAAACCCTATTGTATTTTGCATACATTAATTTGAATTTCAAGACTACCTGACTGCTACGAACAACAACATGTATATCACAGCACACGTGCATTGCTTTTTCACTTTCTATTAAATAATAAATTTGTTATTCTCTGTTTTCAGTAAATAATTAATATTTAATAATGCCAGGACAGATACCCTTGAATGTTACAACATCTATCGTGCAGTGCACACTGACGTTTTATTGGTTCACTATATACCATAGATGAAAATAGCCGCGAAACCTCGTTGAGCGCGAGAGAGCCACAAGACTTGTGATTGCCTACTCGAACATTGTTCCATTCTCGCTCTCTACGAGATCTCGACGTCCGTTTGCGTCTAAGTTCATGTGATTACATTGCATTTGCATATTATTTTCTAGGCTGTAATGTGTCATGTATCAGCATATTATGCTCGAACCCAGCACAGTGGTAATGCAAAAAAAAAAAAAGGAAAGAATCAAGCAAACAATCAAATCCGACACATAGATAGATTTGGCGATTTTTAATTACCTGTGGGGACGGCTGAGCCAACTGGAAATCCAAGATAATTTTCTACATAGTAATAGACAGTTTGATTGAAAAATATATCAGTTGTACCATTGACAGTAGCTTCATCCATACTAAAAACAGCAATTCAATGAATTTAAAATTGAAGACGAGATATAACATATCAGCATATACGTGTATGTCAATATTGAGACACAACAAATATACATGACAATAGAAGATCCAGGGCTAATCCACTACTTTAATCTGCTAATAACATATTATATTGTTCATACTAATGATTTAAAACTAGTTGCATCACGGCCAACTAACAATATTAGACAAATATTTCTTGTTACCTGAGTTCCATGGCGTAGGTATAACCTGTAAAAGGTGGTAAAACTGCTGGCATAGCCTCTTCACCATTGTCACCGACTGTGTATTCAGTCACTCGAATATGTGGTTGAGTTATGGTCTAAAGGTAATATGCAGATTAGATAAATATCATTTAGATAAATATTCCAAAACGATAATATGTGTGCATATTATTGTAACGTTTTACATATACCAGAATTATTGCTCGATTGAAACAGTACACAAGAAAAACAAAATTATATAATCAACCGAAACATCTACGAATCAGCGGCATTGTACCATCTTAGCTTTCTTTATTGGTGAATTATCTTTCTGAAAATATTTTTTTCTACATAAGTAAGCAACTCTTTTCCCACTTTACAAACGCTCAATTGCTTACTTATACATTATTACACCATTTCGTTTGTTAAATGGCGGTTGTCGTCGAGCTGCGCATGTGCGACAATTGTGTTGATAAACATGGATTTTCCCATAATCCAATGCACTCTTTCTAATGGAAATCACAAGTATGAGGTTTGACCTGGGTACAACTTCCACTAATTACAGCTGGTGACTCCTTCGATACTTTCCAACACGGTTTTTAGTAACCGTGCTTCCAATAACCTAAAAATACCTAATTAAGCTTAGTAACGTCTCAGATTGTACTTATTGATCTGCACAACTCCCGTCTTTTAGGATCGACTGACCCATGTTAGACTGCGGATTTTTTCAAAGTAAACGTTCCGGCCGCCCGACACTCAACCAAGAGCACTGGGAGTGGACCGGAGGAGTCAAAGTCGCCATCTTTGTTTATATGAGACCCATATATCTCACGCATGTGTGGCGCGACGACTACCATCCCTTAAACATTGTCCCCGCCCGGCTTGCTCCATAATATAGTAACTGTTACCTCATTGTCTGTACCATTATTGGATACAATGGTTGCTTCAGTGCCAGGATGAAACATAATGACACCTTTTCGTTTACCAGCATCGTCTTCTACTTCACTACCTTCTGCTACCTGAATCTCATCAGATTCCAGATCTACTACAGTAACCTGCCAGAATGGGATGAATATTAATTAAAAGATTTGCATATCCAAGCGTCACGTGACCTATTTCAAGAATCGGCTCATATTCAATGGTTTGCGTGATCTGATTGCTCTATTTAGTCACGTGTATCCCGTTCTTGAAACTGGATATTTTATGACTGTTCTGGGGCATCAACGATTATGTAAAATTCATATTTTACATCATCAAAGAATATGGTAAATACAACCATTTACAACACGATCATAAACCTTTGCAGGAATTCATACGAATATAGTGTAGTCTGAATGAGGTAAACCATAGACCCTCTATGGGTAAACTTTGGGGTTTGTTGATACATGTCTGAATGTAGAATAGAATTGTAATTAAAGCGCGGGAGTCGTCACCTACGCATGCGTCAGATGGCCATAGCGTGTCATTGTT